GGGTGACCACCAGTATTTGGGGGAACGTCTGTTCACCAGAGTGCCCCAAGGGATGACGAGGTCAAACAGTCATAAACTACTGCGAGACCGTTTCAGGCTGGACACAAGGAAGATTTTCTTTACTGTCCGAGCCCCCAAGGTCTGGAGCAGCCTGCCACCAGGGGTGGTTCAAGCACCTACATTGAACACCTTCAAGAGTAAACTGGATGCTTATCTTGCTGGGATCCTATGACCCCAGCTGACTTCCTGCCCTTTGGGTGGGGGGCTGGACTTGATGATCTTCTGAGGTCCCTTCCAGCCCTAATGTCTATGAAATCTATGAAACCACTGATTTAAATGGGAAATTAGGGTAAATCACAAGCTCGTTACCAGAACTAGCAGAAATGTTAGGAACTGGGACAGCCACTGAAGCTTTTGGAAAAATAATATGGACACGGGAAAGCTGATGCACAGCCCTAGCTCAGTTTGGTTTCCAACAAACTAATGTAATTAGCTAATGACTGACACCTCCTGTTATGCATGAAATGTAAAACAAGTTTCTAGCATATAAAAAAGTAGATGTACAACTGGTATAATAACTAAGGACCTACTGAAATCAAGGAGGCCGGCCGCCATTTTCACATGATCATTGAAGCACAGGGCTCCCATGCCTCTGATTGGCTGTGGGCCCCTGGTGGTTCTGCCTCTCACTGCCACTTGGCCAAGAGAGCTGTCCATTGTGCAGCCCTGCCCCTCTTCGCTGATTCCTCACAACAGGCTGTAAGTCCAGGCCACAGAAGCCATGAGGACCGCAGGCTCCCACTGGGGAGCCAGCATTTTATTTTTAGTAAGGTTTTTTGTTGTTGCTGGGTTTTGGGTTTTTTTTAATTATTTCATGGATTTCAGGGACAATGCCCAATTCTTTGGTTTCTGCAAAATCCATGCACTCACAAATTGAGTAGCCCCTCATAATAGCAATTAAAATAAAAATACACAGGTATTTAGGCTCACTCCTCCTGCTGACATTTTTAAATGCAACATGGCACCATATAGAAAGGAAGACACCACCTATTTCTCTTCACGAAACCTTTTCCTCAGCAAGGCAGGTCTGAGACTTAATAGTCTGTACTTGTGAGAGCAAGATCTGTTTTAAAGCAAGCGCAATATCCCACACTTTAAGACTCCGATACCTGACCGTGAAAACAAATGCCGTTCTCTGTAAAGCACGTAGGTGAATTAGGATGATGAAAACAAGGTAGAAAGGGGACCTATAACAATACAGAGATGCTGAAACTCTCTAGAGAGATCCTCTCTCCAATATTGGAATATACCTTTTCAGAGCTCCCCAAACTCTCTCTCTGAAGGAAGGAGTTATCATTCCCAGTCACCAATGCAAACCTCAGAGTTTCCTGAAATCTTGCAATTCTCTGGATTCTTGTGATTATAACCTCTAGGTACAATGTGGCCCCATAATCAACAAGACAAAAACAAAAAACAACAAATCTCAATGGTTCAGTACTAAAGACAGGCAGAACTCTGAATGGAAATGATCAAAATAATTGTAAAAAAAAAAAGAAAGAAAAAGAAATTAGTTTGCTAATTGTACTAACTCACCACTCTTTGCTTCTCAGACTCATATTTTTAATAACGAGCCAAGTTTAGTCTTCCCTTAAATATATGCAATGACTGTGCTGGATAAAATAAAAACCTTTTATGATATTTTTGCCTTAGATAATTGTACAATTTTTAACTCTAGTTACCTTTTACTCGCAGTGAAAATTGTCAAGGAAAAAAGGTTATATATACATTTACCTATATGGACAGTGTTAAACAGTCTTTGAAGACAGCAAGAATAACAAAGAGAAGTAATACACATCTGCTTCCTGCCATCTGTGGAGAACAAAGGAAATCTCTAAAGTCTGAATGTGTGAAAAATGAGTTCTGTTACAAATAAATGGCCGTTTTCCACCCCAAAAACATAAACATTCAAAATCCCCGACTAATCAAGTCCCTGGCGCATTAACCGGAGATTAAAAGGCATTATTAATACAATGGTGATACATAAATCAGTGTAGAAGTCCCATACAAAGCATTTTTAAAAGCATGCAAAGTTTTTGTATTGAGAAACCACTCTCTCCGAGTAATAAAACCATTCTGGGGCAGGTAATGGCATGGTAAAACTGACACCAGCACACCTTGTCTCTTACAATGGCCTCACAGCCGCTCCTCTGCTACAGTCCCGAGACTTGGTACTTCAGCATTTGGGAGATGGGGAGAAGCAGAGAAGGCGCTGCTTTCCTGATGCTCATCTTCTGCTCACCCTGTGGCTGTTTAAAAAAAAAGAGTAAATGCTACTTCAAACCACACTACTTAAATGGGATGCTCTGTGGCTGCTTTAAGAAGATTTTGGAGGAGCTACCTATTAATGTGAGCTACAGGAAGATGAGCCAGCAAAGGAGTTAGGTAAAAGCAGCCAGGGGGCTTAGCCAAACTACTGCCAGTGGAGCAAAGTCAAAGAAATTCCTGAAGTTTCTCCCCCTTTTTTACCCTTCAGGACAGATCTACTTGACCGACGGTCCCTTCATAAGTGGAAGGGAAACAAATGGTTGAAGTCTAGAACGTTAAAGAGGCAGACAAATATACATATTAAAGTATGCTTCTGTGAACACCTTGTCTTCAGACTTGATGCAAGAATATGGACAAAAAATGAACATGGCTAATAATGGCTGTGTACACATGACAGCTATCCTAGAATAAGATAGGGTATGAATTTAAAGTAGAATAGCTTTGTATGTAGATTAGTTCCAAGAGCCCTTACGGAGAAAAGACAGGTGGTTAGGTTAGGCCAGATCCCCTTCAAGGGAACAATTCTGAGACTCAAATTCACCTCTGGTAAAAGCAGATGCTATTGCAGTGATGCGAGCGATGCTGTTGCTGGTTATGGCAGTTTTGAATTGGGTCTTGTGATTCCAACTTGCTTTGGACAAGGAAGGGCGTTAAGCACCTAGACAGAGCTCAGATCTTATACAGGGCTCTGCTCAACCTTATTCAGCGGTGACAGGAAACTAAGAATTGAGTTATACCACCACAGACACTTATATAAATATTTAGTGAGTTATAATGTTAATATCAAAAAAAAAAAAAAAAGCATTTCAAACATCCTTTAGAATTACTAACCACCAACACCACTGCAGGGATGAGGCTGCTTGCATTCTCAGCATGTGCTGTAACAATTGCAAGTGGGGGGCTCAGCTGGCTGATGTAAAAGTCAGAGAATCTGCTTTTCTGCATGCAAGCACTAGAAATCAGGATTATTCAAAGCCACTATAAAAGTTCAGCTCCCATATTTAAATCAATTTCCTAACTGTTCACTTAACTATGAAACCAGCCTAAACATTTGTATAGAACTAGGACTCACTGCACAACGTGCAGGAAAGACTGATTCTTCATAATCTACTCATAACAGCAAGGCAGGTTCTCACAATTTTACTGTGCATCACTGATAAATAAGCAGGCGCCTCTTTAAAAAAAAGGAATCTCAAGTATAATTAAGGATTCTCCTTTATCACTGGTGACAGCAGGATGAGACAACATAATCAACAGGACTGAGCAGGTGCTTAATAAACAGCAGTCAAACATTAACCCTAGCTTTGCCACCAGTTTATTGTGTAACCATAAGCAAGACATGTAATTTCTCCATGTCCCAAATTCCTGCTATGTAAAAAAGTTGATATGATTTCTTTAACCATACCACCCGATCGGATAGGAAGTACTATCTCAAGTCTGAACATTATTGAGAATGGTCAAAGCTGTTTAGGTGTCAAACCATGCTGTGAGCTTGAAACCAAGAATCCGTGTCTTGCACTTTGAACTCACTTTCTCATAAAATTTGAAAAAGAAAAGAACACCACCACGCATTTTTAACTCCCTCAGAAAAATCTATTATCTTGTAAATGATGTAACAAATGTTGATATAACATAATGAATGACAGAATAAATGGTATGGAGTTTTGTGCAGAAGTAAAACTGCATTCAACTAAGAAACCCTGCTACCCTGACTAAATAAGCAGGCAAATAGAGTGGCTGATTTTTGTACAGACTGTCAAAACTACATACTAAGTTACAGAATCCTGGAGTCGCAGGATAGAAGAAACAAAGAGGTCTCACAGTCCAGTGGGGGCCAACCTTTCTGGCAGGTGTGCCACAAAGTAGTCCCATACCCTGCTCAAGTGCCACTCTGATTCATTTCCCTAATTAGCTTTCTGCTCCCTGCCCAAGCTGCTGCACATCACACACACACAGGCTACCTGTGATGCAGGTTGGCCACCCCTGTTATAGTCGACCTTCCTGCTACCCAGCAAGATCAGCTCTACCAGAACCACACCTAGAAGATATTTGGTCCAGCCTGCTCTCAAAATCTGCAATAATGAAGCCTGCGAAACTTTATTTCCAGTGTTTTACTATCTTCGCAGCTGGAAGTTTTTCCTAATGCCCAACCTTAATCTGCCTTACTACAGTTTGAACCCATTACTTCTTGTCCTAGTCCGCCAACCTATTCATATACAATATTTAGATAAACATCCTGCAGTTCTTTAAAGTTTAGAAAGAAATCTAAGCTTCAAAGTTTGGACAGATATCTATCTGACCTTCCCCAATATGCAGATATTCATAATTTGTGTCTGGAATCATCACCAATTCTCACTGTGCCATTTAATCTGTCACATAACTGAGACCTGCACCATGCAGTTCTGACACTGTCACAGAAAATACCAGAGAAAACTGAAAAACTTTGCCCAGTAAAAGCTTAAGTAGAAGAAATTTCCCTCATTAAAAATTCTCAGAGTGATTCTACCAAATTTTTTAAAAATGTTGTTAGCCAATGTTGAGCAACAGAAGGGAAAATGTTTCTCTCTCAAGAATGGGGCCCATTTGCTGTAACATGCAAGTAACCACTCGTTCTTTTTCCCCCCCCTTACTCGTTTGACAGCACTATCCTAGTACCAAATTGTACTCAATAGGAACGACAGAACCAGAAGAGAGAGAGAAATGTAGAACACAGACTATTAAAACTACAAAAGACTGTTGGCACCTCCCCTATGCTTGTGCCCTAGGGGTGTGGGGAAGTTAGATGAGGTTCCATGATTTAACACACTTACAGAAAAGGACAAAAATGTGCCCTGTACAATTCTGTGTAGGTAACCAGTGGTGATTTCACTGTCCCAGTGGGTGACACACTAATTTACTCATAACCCTGCTGTTCCCCCAGTTCGTAGCAGCAATGAAAACCCATATACAGAAATCTTCTTTTAAAAAAACCAGTTTCTTATATTCTTAAATTCCAATGTGAACCAAGTATAAACAAGTGTAGTACTTACTATATTTACTCGAAAACAAGATAAGCCCCTCTCCCCACAATGGCACGGGGGGGAAAAAGCCCCTTGTCTTATAATCGCATACAAGGAAATCTCATTAAATACACTCGCTATCATTAAACTGCTGCCAAAATCAGCATGTGCCCAGCAATGGAAACCAGCTATGAAGTTGATAAGTGCAGCCAACACCGAGCATAACTATAATGTACATGGCTCATATTGAGCAAAACATGACTATGGGAACTTTTTCTGTGTGTGCCTCTTAAAAAATCAAAACAAACAAACAAACAAGAAAAAGCAGGCAGCTGCTCTTCAGGAGGAAATGAACACTGGGCCTGGAGGTACTGCAATACCAGGCCAGCACTTGGAAAGGCCAGACCAAGCTCTGACACTCTCCCCTGGTGCCAAAAATGCTGATGGAGACTGTGTGTGTGTGTGTGCGCGCGCGTGCGTGTGTGTGCGTGCATGCGCGCGCGCCTTAAAATAAATAAATAAGTGGGCAGGTGTTCCCTCTGCAGGGAAGTGGTACCAGTGGTACCAGGAGGGCCACAGCCAGCCCTGACACTCTCCCTCTGGTGCCAAAAATGTTCAAGTTCAAGATGAAAAAGTCTGAGGAATAAGGAACTACAGAGGTCCCGAGCGAAGGGCAACATGGTAGACAGTGGGGGTAGGGGTGTGGATGGAACTGAGTTACATAAGAAACATGCAGCCAACTAAGCTCGGGGGTGAGGAGATGGGAAAGGAGAAAAAGGAGGGAAGGGGACATGATGCTTATACCGTATACCAAAGAATACACAGGAGATCCCACACAATAATACTGCATGCAAGTAAGGAAATGGTTTGCAGGCGCACACACAGTTACAAATAGAGATATATGGGACACAATTGTGGGGGTGGTATGTTTCGTTATACCCAAAAAGGCTGAGATGCTAATGGAAACCTACCATTACAAAAGATTAGTGCAGGGGTGGGCAGAATGGCAAATCCAGAGGGCAGCTGAACTCAATTTCCCATCAGCCCCTGCCCACATGGATGGAGTCAGTTTCCATGGAGACCCCAGCAGCAGCCATGCTGCCATAGCACAGGACCAGAGTTTCCATGGAGACTGGCCCCAGCAGCGCTGGTAGGGCATGCCGCAGGGCACGGAGCTGGTCTGGGATCTTGCAGCAGGGACAGTGTGGTCCAGAGCCAGGGCACAGCCACAATCTGTTGCCTGAACATCCCTGCCCGGGGCTGCAGATCGCAGCTCTGGCCTGGCTCTGCACCATGCTGTCACTGCCGCAAGATCTCAGCCCAGCTGCAAAGCAGTGCTGTGCCCTGCCAGTCTCCATGAAAGCCCCGCACCGCGCCATCACAGCATGGCTGTTGCCGTGTTCTCCATGGAAACCAGCCCCAGCTATGCAGGCAGGGGCTGCTAGGAAAGGAAGTCTGGAAATACAAGTTTCCAGAATCCAAAATCACTTCTTGACCTGTTGTGGGCTAAGATTAGGTACCAGCCTCTTGCGGGCAAGGATCAAGTGGGGACTTGAGCCTGGGCTTGAACCTGCACATAGGATGCCTGCCAATGGATTTGGGAGTATCTGAAGCCCCAGGGTGAGAGCCTGGGATGGGGGATACTTGCTGGTTGTAGCACTATACATGGTGTTTAGAGTGATTGAGGTCTGCCTGCTCAATCCATGAGGTTTTTGGAACGAACGAGTTCTGCTTAATCAGTATGATTTGGAACTGATTTGGCTGATGTGACCTGGAACACAAAATATATTTAAAAAAAAATAGCGTTACAAACTGTCAAGTGACCCGTGTTGATCATGAGACAGGACAGCAAAAGTTTAGCTGTATCTATCTAGAAATATATATTTAAAAAAAAATTAGTTTGTACTATATGTAAGTAGGTACTAAAGTGCTGCTTAAACATGTGCTTATGGAGCACCTGTGCTAAAACCTG